GATAACTACTATAGCAGAGGACTTTGGACAAGGTGTGCCCGACTATGTCGCCTTGACAACACAACCAACTTGGGAGAACTAGGTCAGACTATTTCTATCCATCTAAAGAAGACTGCGACAAAATAGGAGCCACGAAATTTCGGTATTCATATCTAGCTCTATGCTTTGCTACAAGAAAAATGAATAATGAGACATTCAAAAATTAAAATATGTAAATATTTCTTTCCATTTTAGTGTTAATATAGTAGATAAGGTATAAGAAATTTTAAGCACTTGATTCATTATCTATCCTCAAAGCTGTGCTTGCCAAATAAAATTGCTAACACGTGAAAATTTAATATAATAATTCAGTTTGATGGCAAATGACACAAATCCCCCTCGACTTACCTGGTTAGTAGATAGGCTTTCATCAGATGACGCACCGGAGACGCTGGAAGTTAGAGTGTGAAATGCCGAGCTGGCAAGGGAAGCTATACGAGCAAGCACAGAAGCAAGAATAGTGCCCTGAGTAGGCGCATCTACGTACAGGCTGAGGAAGCCGGCGCCTATTAAGAAGCCACAGGCAGGACCAAGCGCAGCAGCACTATAAAAGAAGGCTGAAATTGAGAGAGTAAAACATGATAGGCAAATTCAGCAAAATATCGATTAATTAATGTGTAACAATGAAATATAATGGCAAAATTAGACATTCTCATGATATGGCAACTGAGTTAAAAGAACTTCATATAGTAACATTGTAAAAGATATGCTTAGTCAGCGAGTTTTTTTAGCAGGAATAAGAATTACATATCTTTTTAAGTGCAAAGATCTCGTACTTGAGCTTTGAACAAATCTTTTAATGTGTAGAATTAGGGTTTCGAGACTACAAGTAAATCAGTTATGTGAGATGTATTCACCCTATTTCGTTTAAGGCGACGAAGGACTGGAAGTTGAATGCTCCCATCATGATATGAGTAGAGCTGACGCTTCCATTGAATTTTACAGCCTTGTTCTCCCGAAAGGTGTCCTCATTCTGGATGGACTGCAGTTTCGACCTCGCCTAAGTATTATCAGCACCCCAGCGGGAGTCGAAATAAGGTGAATACATCTCATATATGTAAGAATTGTCGCTCCAGATGGCGAAAAACCAGACGGTTGAAACAGAATAAAATGAGATAAAGTTTCTATATTTAGTGGAGCAAAGCGAAGCTAAAACGCAATCTATTCGTGAATAGAAAGCCTTCGTTCAGTCAAGGCGAAGCGAAATGCAATGGGGATGCTAGATTTCGTTTGAATTTCTGTATACGCATCTATATTATTGAATCTAGAAGAAATCTAGGGTTACAATCGAGCTTATGTGGATTTAGTGGTAGTTAGAATAGAACGGATTCTGCTTAAAAAAATGCACGGCTTAAGTAAAAATAAGTTGCAAAAGTCTCATCATTTAATACAAATAATATTAGAGGGAAATGAAGTTGATAAATTAATGTATGATATACATTTAATAGTGGTATTAGAAAATCCAATATAAATTTAATCAATACAAAATTCACGAGTAAATAAAGATTTTTTAATCAACCACTAGTTAAAATGAAGTAAAACACAAATTCACATGATTCATGCATAATATGGGTTCGTTAATATTAAATACGAAACTCTTAACATTAAGCAAGTCTCTGCATATGAGAAATTTTACTTTAATACTCATTGATTGAATAGATGCCTAAGTCAAAGTGAGTAGGAAAATTGACTTTCGCAGTCAGCGAATAAAAGTATTATTTATCCTTTGCAAGTAGGGTTTCGAGACTACTAGTATTATTTATGAAGAGATATGTGTCGAAATTAAAATATACCATTCAACTATTTCCTCAGCTAAGTCAGGAAGCATACACTAAATTAGCAGACAGAAAATGTAAAGAATGACAGTAATCGTAAAATGAGGGAGAGGTAATATGAAGGCCTACCTGAGTAGATGGGATATTGTTTATCAGTAAGGTTGTCCCAAAGATAGGTTGGCCCGAGGACATAGAGGGGAGAAGCTCCGATTCCAGCCAAAAGGAGGGCAACACAAAAGACGGGAAACGAGGCAGATTGGCCTTCAGCTTCACCAGGCAGGTCTTTATTAGTCGCAGACTCGTAAAACAATGTAGTTAATCTGTTCGAATGTTCGGATGATGATGATGATGGAGTGGATGGTAAAAATAAGGGAGTATAAGATGCAGAAGATTTAGAAGTATCTGTTGGTCTTGGAGCAGAGCAGACACCAACAGAGTCCGATTCAGTTGAACTGCTTAATCCGTTGTTCGGCACAAAGTCAAAGCTGTTTGACGAAGCAGCAGGTAGTCTGTAGGGCCCGGCAAGGAAGTGAGGCAAGGAGAAAAGTGCGAAACCTAGGCTCATCAATAGAGCGAAAAGTCCAACGATACGAGGCCGGTTATGTCGCCGAGTGGTTACGAAGCTGACGGCTACTGTGGTCAGCATGCCTGTAACCTGAGGATAAAATCAAGAGAATGCTGATTGTGCATAACAAGTTTAGAACATTTCATTGATAAGCGCCGAAAAACTGAAATAAAATCCTATATGTCCATTAAATTGCGATTCGTGGAAATAAAAAAAGGGTTATATAGCATTTATTCTTGGCTTAAATTACAGTTACGTAGTCGTTCCCTTGGTCCTATCAGAGTCTCCCTCTTGCCCCGTAGCATCCGTCTGCTATCTCCCTGGACAGGAAGATGTTATAGCTTGGCTTAAGGATGACTAGTGGTAAATATAATCCTATAAATTGTTAGTATCACTAAAGAGCATTTTAGATGTCAGAGGAAGACAAAATATAAAATGGTATAATTATATATAGCTATATTCAAAATTACTCTCATCAGTTAACGTTATAAGGTATGAAGAACAAGATGGTATGGCCTTTTGTGTGGTCGCAGTCTCCTTTTGTTGTATAGAAGTTGTTTGACCTCGCCTTCGCAACTTGGTCATATTGGTAGGAAGACTTAGAAGAATCCATTGTATGCATTATCATTTCCAAAGTTGGACCATGGACGTGGTACACTCCTAGACGTTTCGCCGGCATCGTCAGTGAGTCTTGCCATTCGTAGCACCATAGTACAGCTCTCGTCAAAGAGCCAAGTGAAGCCCATCCTTTGACCAAACGTGTGCTAAACAGTTTTGATATCTGCCCTTCTGCTCTGGGCTATTCACATTTCCTATATTCTCCTATCACGCCTTCACCTTCACAATTTATACCGTACTTATTTTGATGTAGTGTGGTGTGCTCATTCGAGCGGCATTCATGAAAACCCTTCACACTCCACGATGTTGCTCTCACCCCCTTCACCGTTGTGTGGGAATGTTGACCAGAGTCTGTCATATTGTTACGTAGTCCTTCCCTTGGTCCTATCAGTCTCCCTCTTGCCCCGTAGAATCCGTCTGCTATCTCCCTGGTACACGTATTTCACACGACCCCTGTCTCCTCACCTGTGCTACAAACATGGAGCAATACACAAACTAGCGAAATTAATTTGTTTGGAGCTCAAGAAAGTAAATGACAGACTCTCGAATACAGTTAAGAATTCATATGAATTTTATTGAAGGATAAAGAACATTAGGTTGGTGGGGTCGGAACTGTTGGTGAGTTTCGATGTACAATACATGTACAAAACAGCTTAAGTGAGAAGGCAGTAAGCGCTTTGCTGGAGATATTGCAGCCAGAAGACATCCTAGAATCCTATCCATCTAAAAAACACCCCTCGACTTGTCGATTCCTGGAAGTCCAAGTTAGAAAGATGTAAGGTTATGGAATTGTGCGCTTTGGATACCCACAAATATTGGCTTCCAATATGACTTATTTGCTAAAAAGTCAAGGAATCAGTTGGCTTCATAAAACTCAAAATACTAGG